GAAGGCTTACCTTGTTAATGGGGTCTCTACCAAGGGATGGTTTTCTGTTGATTACACTCTCAAGGATCTAGGAAATGTTTATTGTAAGTTCAGCTCACAATTTATCCTCTTTGTGTTTTCTTTTTTTTTTCCTGTCATCATCAATGTTCTCGATATCATTCATTAGTTTTGTGTTTGTCGCCATTCTCATTATTATCATTATCTTCACAAACTTTGCTTGATGGATAGTTAATGAACTTGTGAGTGCCAAGTTCATCTAATGGTTGTCAAAATAAGTTTTAGTTTTGAATCATCAAACACTGACCATTAAAAACCCAGTTCAAGCAATTTTGCAATTAATTAGGTAATTAATTCTGAATTCTGATATGCTTGTGCTAGCAGTCATGTCAAGATTATTACCTGTTGAGATTCAGCATGTTTTTTTCAGTAAGTTTGTTTCTTGACTTGCTTTGAAATGCTCTAGTAGTAAATTCTTCGTGCTTTCTGCTATCTGATTGATGTATCACATTCTAATGTGCAATTTGTTATCTGGACAGTAACTCAAGGTGTCTATTCTCGTTCCAATAAGCTTGATGGCAATGGTTATCCAATTATGACTGTTCAGGATATATCTACAAATTTACAACCTCCTGGTTTTTGGTTGAATATTCAGGTATAGGATTAATCAATGCTTAATAATTCCTTTGTCTTACTTTTTCACTCTTGTCTCTTCTTATCCCGGTATTAAATTAGTATAACTTCATCTTCCTGTTTTTGGATTTAATTGAATGGTTTTCTATTTTTGCAGCACGATGCATTCTATACACAACACAACCTGAGTATGAAAAACTTTATACTTTCTGTAACAAGAAATGTGAATGTAACTGTTGGCTATATCTCATCACCGGAGATGGCTTTCTTGCAAAGTATTGCAGCACGTTTCCGAAGAAGCACAACAAAGCTTGTCTTCCGGTTTCTAGGACAGAAAGAGGTGGAGCCTTCAACCAACCAGACTTATGATTCTCTCTTAAAAAATCTCACATTTATCAAGACATTTGCCTCTGGAATCATTGTACCCAAGTCTTATATCTGGCCTGTAGATGCAAATCTTTATTTGCTATCTTCTACCTCTGTTGTCTTGGATGCTCACAAAGAAGGGCTAGAAGTTTTTGCATCCGAGTTTTATAATGATGTTCCATTTAGCTTCATTTACTCCTACGATCCAGTGGCTGAGTATCTTCAGTTTGTTGACAATGGTAACTTCTCTGTTGATGGGGTGATATCTGACTTCCCAATATCTCCATCAGCAGCTATAGGTAAGTTATATACCAGTTTGTATATGCAATGTCAGTTCTCGTATATTTCTTCAATTTGTTTTTGCATCTCATAAAATGTTGTTTACTTTTTACCTTAAATTATGGTGAAATTCTCATTATTTCTAAGGAGCCTTGCTTGTCTGAGTGACTTGTGCTGCCATCTTGGGAATATCTTCCAAATTTTTGTAGTTTTCACAAATTAGGGAATATATCCTGCTGTATGACCAATAGGGTGCACCTAAGAATCCTCCACTTTGTTTTTTTTTTTTTTTTTCACCTTGGTTGCCTCTTGCTGTAGTGGTGTCATATGAATAAGAAGGTGAAGTGAGACTATGTCTGCCTTTTCTGTCTCTCTTTACTGTCGTGGCCTGACATGCCCTACACAATAACTTAGTCTGATTATTGAAAGAAAGGTTGTCTGATTTTTACTAGATATCATTATCATTTGCTGCTAATGGATAAGAAACATTTTCGATGAGATGCTAACTTTTGTTTCATATTGCAGATTGCTTTGCTCATCTAGGCAAAAATGCTTCAAAACAAGGTTTGTCATTATACAATGCTTCTGATCAAAAGATCTTATTTTTCTTGTTGAGAGTTAGTGGTAACAGTTATGAGATTATGTGTTTCAAGGCACCAACAATCGTTTTAAGGTTTATCATAACCTATTTTATTTTGTTGGCATGCTACAGTGAACCTTTTGGTCATCTCAAAAAATGGAGCAAGTGGAGACTTTCCTGGTTGTACTGACTTGGCATATTTAAAAGCAATTGAAGATGGTGTAGATGTTCTTGACTGTCCTGTTCAAATGACAAAGGATGGAACACCTATTTGCTTGGGCTCTGTAAATCTGATAGATAGCACAACAGTTGCTCAATCAAGTTTTAGCAATCTTATAACAACAATTCCAGAGATTACGCAAGGCAGTGGAATATTTACCTTCAACATGTCCTGGATTGATATTCAAAGCTTGACACGTAAGTTGAATTTAGTTCTCATTTTGCTTGTTCTTTATCGTACTGAACTTTTGCTTTGTTTTATTTTTTCTTTTGGGATGGTTGGGATGTCATCTATAGTCTCTAATAGTTTTAGAAACATAACATGTTGAAAATAAATGTTGTCTAACTCAGTAAAGATTGAAGTTTGTACATTATGTTGAGTGGGTATTTTTGATGCTTTGTGAGTGCTCCTCCTCATTTTTTCTGTGCTTGAAAGATTGTTACTCATAACCATGGTCGTGGAGCATGACTAAAATCCTTGCTTTGGGAGATAATGTTTCCGTGTATACTATGTCAGTTTTATTTACTTTGCCCTATCATCTAAGTCTGTGTTTTAGTTGCTGAGATTTAGCCATCTTGCTGTTTCTTAAATAGATATAATTGGCTTTAATTTTTTTGTAATCTATCATTACTTTCATTGTAGCTGTAATATCAAGCCCACAGTCAGCTTACCAATTGTTTCGAAATCCGAAGTTCAAAAATTCTGGGAAGTTCTTAACTTTATATGATTTTTTAGCCATGGCAAAGAATGCTAGCTCTCTTTATGGTATCTTAATCAGCATAGAGGTCAGTTCTTGCCATTCTGTACTTTTCCTCTTCAAGTTTCTTGCATTGGAGTTTACTGCCGTAATTTTTATTTTCTACTCACATTATTGAACCTAATGATGCATGTTAAGAGGTTAGGCACTGTGAATGGTGGCTATGGTTATCTGCTGTGCTGGTGGGTACTGTTTGGTATCCTAATTATTCCGAGAAACATATCAGATTGAGTCTTAATCATAACTATGGTAGCTGTGGGTTATGCCATGTAGAATATATTGAACTGAATGGTCAAAGAAACATAGAAATGTAGTTTCATAAGAAGCTGCCACCATTATGAACTTGACATCTGTAGATACATTGCCTAAATCACTCTAAAGTTCGCTAATTCTAGGGTTTTCAAAACTTTTAATGCTCTCATCATAACTGAATATCACTTGAGATTTAAAGATCATTCCTTTGTTTTCCAAATGTTGAGATCTAGATAAACCTATCTTGTAGGAGAGAAAGACATAGATGAAATTCCTTATGTGAAGTTTGTGAAGTTTTCAATTAGAAACTAATAAATAAAAAATAAAATCGAAAATCAAAACCAATAGATTAAAAATTTTTGTTACATAAATCAAGTGTGCAAAATTAAAAAAATATTTTAATAAATTTTGATATATTTTTAGATAGACATTTTTAGTAAAAATATTGAGAATTTTTACTGTTAAATAAGAGTGGTTCAAATTTGAATTATAAATAATATTTTTAATAATTTTTTTTACGTACTATTGATTTTTATATTAAATTCTATCAATTTATTGGTTTGGATTTTTTTTTATTAAAGTATTTATTAAATCATTTTTGAGAAAAAATTTCAAAAATTTCACTTAAAAAGCTTCATGTAAGTTTTGTCTCTTGTGGGATGTCTTTCTTGTATTTAAGCTATTCGGTTTGAACTTACTTGCAAAGTAATGTAAGAAAATCATGGATACCGAAAAGTGTAATCTTCATGATTATTTCCCCTATATGGTTAGCAAAATCTTCTTGGGTATCTACATGTGTCCATATTTTTCTTGACATTCTGTGAGTAAATTCCAATCTTCTTTTCTTTCTTTGATTTAAAAAAAAAAAAAAAAAAAACCTTCCCCTGAAGCTCTAATTTGCTTAGAAGCCTCATTTGTGAGCCAGTGGTGGATCCACATTCAAAAGTAGTAACCCTCAAAAAGAAAATTTGAAGGAAAAACTTTCCCGGTACACCTCCAAAATTTTTTCTTGGATGCCCTTTTTGGTTGATAGAATTAGCAAATCCATCAACAATTATATATATATGTTAAGTGGACACATCTAGAAAAAAAATCTTGGATCTGCCGCTATTGTGAGCTAGCTATAAATGTTGTAATATTTGTATTTCAAATGGTTTCTTCCTTGACAACATAACAGGAATATTTATGAAAATTTTTGACTTGTTTATTCCTTTCAGAATGCTCCTTACCTTGCAGAGCAGGGATATGGTGTAACTGACGCAGTACTTGATGCTTTGAGAAAAGCTGACTATGATGAACAGACAGCTCAGACAGTTATGATCCAGTCCAGTAATAGCTCTGTTCTAATGAAGTTCAAGACTAAAACCAACTATAAACTTGTCTACAAGGTTGATGAAGATATTGGTGGTGCTGACAGTCCAGCAATTGACGACATTAAGAGATTTGCTAGCGCTGTGGTCATCAGCAAGGACTCTGTCTTTCCTGAAAATACAGCATTCCTCACTGGTGTTACGGATGTTGTCCCGAGGCTACATAATGCTAATCTCTCTGTATATGTTCAAACCTTCAGTAATGAGTTCGTATCTCAAGCATGGGACTACTTATCTGATGCAACTGTTGAGATCAATTCCTTCTACACTTTAGCTGGTATTGATGGTGTCATTACAGACTTCCCAAAGACATCTAATAGATACCGGAGTAAGTGCATGTTGGCACTGTCATATGCAGAAACTACAAAATTTTCATAGTATTGGTGTTGATTTGATAATCTTTTTGTAGGGAACCGATGCTTAAACAGAGGCAACAAAACAGCTGGTTATATGAGCCCCGTTCCGCCTGGCGGCCTTTGGAAACTAATCACAAATGATTACTTGCCACCAGCTAAAGCTCCAAATCACTATCTGAATGAGGCAAATGTTATTGAGCCCCCTTTGCTTCCTGTTGCCACAAAAACCACCCCAACTTCAAGTCCATCTGGTACTGCAACAGCTGATCCAGGAGCAATCTTATCAAGCACCTCTAAAAGTATCCATCTGCATCAAAATCAAGCTCCCTATGTTGATAGTTGAAATATTGGAATTACATGGAATTACAAAACTATGATGCCTGCCTTCAAAGATCATCATAAATTAATATGGCAGAAACAAGCTGATGTTGAAAATGTTGAGACATATGCAAAACGTGCCAGCTTGTACTTGAAAATGCATCCGTGCCCGCATCCTAAGAGAAAGGACAAGCAATTAACCTGATACTTTCGTGGTTTAACCTGTTGCTTGTAATGTTTGCTGAAAATCTACGATAGAGATAATGCATGGAACTTGAGCATTTTAACTATATCGGTGAAGCGGAAGACTTACCCAGTTCTGAAATCCTCAAAGACATTATTAACATAACTCCCAATCCCAAGACTGTTGATCTACAGTCGCAAACATGTCTCTTCTCTGGAGATTTGCATATCATCTGTCATCCTTTCTGCAAAAGAAATCTTTTTGCTGTCTACGCTCAGGCCATTCCCGCAACAGCACACATGTTTTTCTTATCCAATAACAAAACTAGAGACAACATATAAAGAGCAAAGAGCAGACTTTGTTTTACTAACTAAACAGCCTAAAACACCAACATGATAATGGACTGGCGGCTCGCGAAAACCCTTGTAAGCAAACCATCTGGAAAACACCACAGCCGAATTGTGTAAGCATCAAATCATAGCACTATCTCCTAATCTTTCTAACAAAAGATGTGCATTACAACAAAGCCATTCATGATTTTAAGTACATGAGAAAAAACCCATGCACCTTGACTCCTACTAATTTCATATTTTAACAGTTTTACAAGGCACAAGACCACAGGCTGTTCCTAAAACCTCTTAGAGTGGAGTAAGCCCCAGATTTGATATTTCAACAGTTTTCTATGACAAATGCTACTAAACCGAAAAGTTATTTAAAAGGAAAATGTCTGTGTTACAACTGCCAGATTTGTGGTTTCTCACCTCTGATGAAAGATTTGAGGCACAAATGCAAGATTCAGGTTTGTCGAGCCCTCAACTATGTCTTTAGGGCTCAAATACCGTTTGCAGCCCATTCTCTCTGCATGGTCAAGTACCAGTTTAGCCCTTTCGGCAGCATCCTTAGTATCTAGGGTCAATGGATTGCAGTGCTCTGGTGCCTGAACATTAAGCAGGTATGCATAAGCTTTTGCATCCTGCATGTATGGAAATGAGTAAAACATACCAAATAATGAATGCAAGCGAAATAAAGCAATGCTTCCAATAGATGTATAAGCATCCACCTCGGTCCATTTTATTAGTTTATTGTACCCTTGCCACTAAATTTAGTATTAACATAGTCAAATACCTTCACATCTGACAAAAAATTTGTAACGGTTTTCTCGTAGCCTGCTTTATTTAAATGAAAATTCATCCATTTTAGTAGAACCTTCTCAGGAGCTAACCCCCAAGTTCCTCAACATCATGCAAGTTACAATAATTCAAATGGAAACAAATCAATGCATTTGTCTAAAACCTGTTTTTTTCATGAATTATTCTTAGTTTAAACATCATCAATCACATGATAAAGAGATATATTACTGAATTTGCTATCCTCCACCAATTCCACAAGCTGATGGTGTCTTCTTCTTAAGGTTTAGATCTGCTAAGCAGTTGATCTGCCAGTCCGTCACAGAGGTAAGGATGAGAAAAAGGGTACCTGAAAACAACTTGTCTTAAGTTAACATCCTACTTTTCTCAGTCCATCATGAAAGTTTAAAGCCAATACAAGAAATTGCATATAAATAATACAGAGGATTTATATGCCTACCTTTATGATTTGAGAGATCAACCCAAGTAAGAGATGTGGCTGCAATACAAATAATCAAGATGAAAACCATAAGATTATCAGCATATTTCATTCTAACTCACATAGGAATCCGTTTAGCTGTATTAACCCTCCCTTCAACCAAGTCCTGGGTGCCAATGTTTACCACAGTGCAGCCAATAGCCTTTGCAGAGTTGAGACAAAGGGTATGGTTCTCATTCCTCTCCCATGGGTTAAGTACCCTATTTGTGTTGATAGCTCGTTCGTATATTGTTCCTGGCACAGCAACATTGATAAGCTTACTGCAAAAATACAAGAGAAAAGAATCAGTTTCACTTCTATGTACCAGCTTTTATAGAAAAACAAAGAAAAGAAAAAGAAAAAGCAAATGCATAATGGAGAACACCCCATAAAAGTACTCCATCTTTTGCAAGATTGACAAGATCATTCGTAGCCTGATCCAGCGGAAGAAACTGCTTTAAAAATGGATCATCCCCAAGATAAATGTTTATATGTGTAACATAAGAGGCTTTTTCTGATTCACTGCTCGTGTGAAGAAGAGTGGTTGTGGAGGCCTTTAGGAACGATAACAAATTCTTTGGACCGCCCAATTTTCCTGTAGCCTGACTTTGCAAATTTAGATACACCTGCTCATTCCATGCAACCAATCATAATGTTTGCCCCCTTTAACTAATTCAAGTCTCAACCGAAGTTAAAGCCTATAATTACCACTTGTATGCAACATAATAGAATGTAAACCGCCATGTAAGTTTAACTGAAGTGATGATTCCCGTTTTTTTTTTTTTTTTCATATGTTACAATACTACATGGTTAATAATTGTAAAATAGAATACAACTGAGAGCATCCACAAGCTGGTATATAAATGACTCACCCTGAGGAATGTTTCAAAATCAATCTCATTGCTCATGTCACTATAGGATTCGCCCAATTTCTAACTAATCTCGTCCTCGGTAAACATAGTACTAAAAGCCTTCAATTTCACCCTCAAGGGCAGCAAATCTCCAACTGTAACTTTATGATTTTGGTTCTTTACTGAAACAAACTAGAAATCATATAAAAAAGCAGGCAGTTCAAATTCTATCAAATTACATTCACAAAAAATAACAATGAAATCGAATAATAATGCAATAGTTGTAGCAATAAGTTTAGGAGGGACCAAAGTATGCTTACTTTTGATTTAAGGCTGCGAAGCTCGACTTGTGTGAATTGGCTTTGAAGCCATTGGTCAGAGACAACGACACCAACGAAACTAGACATAACTACAGATTAACCAAGCAGAGGAAAAAAAAAAAAAAGTCTACCCCAAATTTCTTCTCCAAATTACATACACCAACTGAATCCAGAATCCAATGACCAATGCAGGACTCAAACTACAGCCCAAATTACCCAAGTAGCTAAATTTTCCAACTAGATTCCCAACCCCAGAATCTGAAAATCAGCAAAACCAAATCAATGACTCAGCTTTAGCTCCTATAAGCATGAAGACAACAAGAATCTTTCATGAAACCATCCCTATAGATTGCTTTGAATTTGAACTTATATCAATCATGAATATCCAATACTTTTGTCCCTAACACATAAAAACTAACAAAGAAATAGTCCAAAAATAAAAAAATCCAAATCCAGAACTCAAATTCAGACCCCATAAGCATAAATATTAACAAGAAGCCATCATGAAACCATCCAATAGATTGATTTCAACTTACAACAATCACCAAAAGAATCACAGAAACATGAAACCCAAGAAACCACTGCCAAGATAACTCCTTTTTCATCATTCAGTTCCAAAAATAAAACAGAAACAGAAACAAAAAGCAAACAAAGATAATTCAACAGGAACAACCAAATACAGAAGAAAAAAAAACACAAAAAAAAACTCTAAAGAACAACTAAAAAAATGAGAACCCAAAAAATAAAACACAAGAAAAAAGCAAACCTAGAAATATTTACCTATAAAAAGCAAATATTTTCCATTTTCCCAATAAATAAATCCAGTTCCTTTCAAAGTTCTTTTACACAGCATCAAAATTTACAGAAAAAAAAAATCCATTTAAAGAATCAACAAATGTGTGTGTATATATATAAGATTGGTATATAGAGAGAGAAAGGATCGATTTTTCTTCTAAGAAAAGCAAAGTAAAAAGAACGGTTGTTAGTTTTTACGTTGAAGACGGCAAGGAGCAAGACAAGCTTGGAGCAAGACAAGCTTTGAAATAGGTACGGTTTTGTTAGTAATTGGGTGTTTCTAAGAGTACTGTAAAGAGAATGCACTAGCTTTGTTGGCTTGACACGTTAGCTAATTTGTGTGGACACGTGTATTTGTGGACATGGGGTGGCGTTTGGGATCTTGTGCAGCTTTTTTTTTTTTGGGGGATAGATTTAAATATGAAAATATAAAATTGATATGATATAAATACGATATTATTAAAAATAAAAAAATAATATAATTTAAAATTTTAAAAATAATAATATGTAAATATAATAAAATTAATTTTATATTTTATATTTTTATAATAATATAAATTATGATATAAAAAATATATAAATATATAAATTTTAATATTTTATATGATATAAATATATAAATAATCATATGATATAAATAAAATTTTTCGTTTGATATATAAAAGATAAGACGGACACAGTTCAAATAACAGAAATTTATTTATCACAGATCGAATGATAGGATAATACAAAATATTTTTACTTTTCCCAAATTTTTATAATTTTAATCAAATTTTAGATAATTTAATTTTTTAATTTTTATTAATTTTTTATATTATATATTGTGCGTTTAAAATTAAAAAATCTTGCGTCCAAAAATAAAACAAAATAAAATTGAAGTCGATGGATGTTTGATATACTTCAGCTTAAGAGAGTATTCAAATTCAATGAACAAAAAAATTGAGGTGATGAATATTATAAATGATAATTAATACTTGTAATAGAACAAAATAACATACTATGCAAGATATTAACTAAAGAAAATACACCCATTAATAATTTTAAAATAATTTAAAGGTTAAAAAATAAAATCCTAAATATATCATATCATGTGAAAAAAACACGTATTTAAAATAATTTAAAGAAAAAATTAAATATAAACAAAATTTGTGAATATTTATCAGTATTATTTAATAAATGCTAATTTGTGTAAAAATAAAAATAAAAATAAAATTTATACTCAAACATACAAAAATACAAAATTATTATTGATCAAAGAAAATTTTAAAATTTATTTATTTATTTATTTAAATCTAGGTTATCGAGCAAAGATTATGACTATGAAACACTAGCTTACGAGGTCATATTCTTTTTTTATATATATATAAAAAAATAGTAATTTAAAGTAATTAAAAGAATTATAAAATTATTAAATATTATCTATTAAAAATAAATGTATGAAATAATCGAACCAAAATTAAAATTACATTGATAATATCAAAATGTTGTATACAAAATATATTTTTGATTAAGATTCAATAAGATGGTTTTAGCTTATTTGTGAAAATAAAACTGCCAAATATGGGATTTTGACTGTAAAATGAGTGAAGATTTCCCACTCTTCACCTTTCTTGAAAGATCTTTTTTAGGGTGATTTCAAAGAGTTGGATCCAACTATTGGTCCCTTTGTCCCCAAACTTTAATCCATGTGCCCTCCATAGATATTAATTAGAATTTCAAAACCCTTTTTGAAATTCAACAAAATAATATATCAAATAAATAAAAAATAATCACATTTATTAATAAAAATTTATCTCATCCATCGTTACTAAAATTTAAAATCCTTATCAGTCGAATTAAATGATTAATACATATATGTTAAGATATATTAAAAAAAGATAATAAATTTTATATAAAAATAATAAGCACATGAAATTTAAATTATTATCGATGATTTTAAAAAATAAATCTTTACTGATACTCTTATTTTTAAAATTTTCACTAATGAATTTATAAGATTATAATTATAATTCTATTCTCAAACTTTTGTAACACACAAAAAAAAAAAATCAATAAAATTTAAACTTGTTTAACAAATTGGTGCTATCTAACGTTTCTAGTTCAAACACTTAGTTCCTTAACAACCAGGACCGACTAAACCTACAATCTATAAGTGCCTTGCACGACATCCTAATTTTCCTTCTTCGGGAAAGGAACAAGAAGATACTGCAGCTAAGAAGAATAATTGTTAATGCGAATTATTTAATATTAAATTAATTAAATTATGTTATTTTATTTTTATTAATTAAATTAATTTTTTTAATTTTTAAAATTAATCAATCAAAATTAATTCAATTAATTTAGTTAATTTTTTGAATTAATCAAATAATAAAATATATTAAATTAAATTATATTTTTAATTTTTTATGTTTAAAATAAATTTAAAAAATTATCCAACAAAATTATTCAAATACTAAAATATTAAATTAAAACTTTTAATAACTTGAAATGAAACGTGTAATTTCATATATTTTTAGTTATATATAATTTTTATTATATTTTCATTAATTTAATTTTCAAACCGAATTCATTAACAAAATTTTTTTAAATTTATTTTTAATAATCAATCAAAATTAATTTAATAGTTGATTAATTAATCGAATTAAATAAATTTAATCGATTATTTGATTAAAACCAAATTATAAACAACATGTGAGGAATAAAATTTTCACTTTTCTATACTTTTTTGGGTTATCTTGAAATTGTCACGGATTTCTATGGGATTAATCTCAAGCAACAATTTACTTTAAAACTTATTTTAATACTATCACAAAAAATATATATATAGTAATTCTCTATTATGCTATCTGTAATAAATAAAAGTTAATATGTAATTTAGCTGTTGAATTGTACTACTTTTAACTTATAAAAACATTTACGATTAGATATCTAAATTTTATTTTTATCAAATATTTTGTACTATTGATTAACACTGTTAATTAAAATACTGACATAATAATATTGATTGATAAAAATATGACACATATGATGATATTATTAATTGTTTTGTGTCACATTTTTTATCATTAAATAGAATTAATGAGTGAAGAAAAATGTTAGGAAAAAAAAAAAAAAAGTTCAAGTATCTAGTTTGAATTTTTTTTATATAAATATGGAATCATTAAAAATAATATAATTTAAGAATTAAATCACATATTAATCCTATAAATAAGTAATAAATTAAATGATGGAAGCGACTAAGCAAGGCCTGTTAGATAATATGGTGAAGCCCAATGGTTAGGATGCTAATTTCAACTAAAGCCCAAAGATATGGATGGGTAGCTCTATCTCAATTTAAGGCCCTTCGCAATCCTTGGAAGCAACC